AAAACTAAATAAAATACAATCAACCTTCTATTAGGTGACCACCCAAATTATTTCGGTTTTGTGGAAGTGATACTTTAGAGTGGTAATATTAATACCGTTCTTTTAGTTTACTCTTTTAGTTCTCAGAACTACTGGTCACTATTAGATGTAATCCTTTCATGTAAGTGGCCACCATAAGAAAGCTTATTTATTTTAAATAAAGAAGCAATTTTAAATAAATTGCAATATTAATAAAAACTGGGAATGCAGAATTACTGAAACCTTTAAAACCTTTATTGAAACCTATAAAATATATTAAAAGAAGTATTATAGGAAATCACACACGGATGCAGGGGTAGCAGGATAGGCGATTCTAGGAATGCGAAATCAGCTGAAATGCATCTAGTGTACAGGTCTAGGGACTGTAATGGAAATACTGCACAGTGATTATGCAAGGAACGGTATAAACTCTTTACAAACCTGCACCAGAGCTCAGCTGAGATGGGTTCCTTCCAGGTCTCGCATGATTCGGGAACGACGGCATTGATTCAGAAGACTGTGCTGCTTTACGCACAGAATAGTTCATGTTTCTGCAAATCAGGGTTTTCTGCTATAGCTTCTGGGGGTACTTCGATGATGATATTGATTCTTTGAGAAAACGAAATGTACCCGTATCACGTGCAATGTACCCTCATCAGGGTACTTCGATGATTATGTGCATCGGATTGCTTTTGTACGACTGGTTTCTGCAACAGTTTGCTACATATCCTATTTTCTCTGCTTCTGTGTTGTTCACCGATGAGTCGTGCTTTACAACGGAAAGAATCTTCAATTCATATAACACTCACTTATGAGTGGTAGCAAATCCCCAGAAACATTCCAGAGAATGTCCCTACCCGCCTATCTCAGCCACACCGTTCTTAACCACTTACATGTTATACACTGACTACCAATAAGTATTTGGACACCTATGCAAATGACGATATATGCGGTCCTAAGGTACGTCACGGTCTCCGCCGATATATGTCGTGTAGGAAACAGCATCGGCTTTAGTCGCATGCAAGGTGCCTCGCAGTTCGGAGCTTTCTGTTTTCAAGAAAATTATAATTATCGGGTATCACAAATGTGGTCGATCGTTAAGGGACATATCTAGCGATCTGAAGTACCCAAAATCGACAGTGGCCTATGTGATTAAGAAGTAGAAGGTGAGCGGTGATTGTCGGAATGTGCCCCGAGTCGGCAGACCAACGAAACTGGGAGATAGAGCCCGACGAGTGCTGTCCAGAGAAATTCGGAAGAACCTCACCCAACCGATGGCCCTCATCCGCGAGGAGCTTCATCAGGCATCCGGGAGTATTGTTTCAATGAATACCATCCGTAAGGAAGCACATCTGCTTGGTTTTCATGGTCGTGCTGCTGCCCATAAGCCTTTGATCACAAAGTCCAACCGCACTGCTCGGTTAATGTGGTGCAAAGACAGTAGAGATCAGTGGAAACGGTTTCTTTGGACTAACGAATCAAGGTTCACCCTTTACCGTTCGGATGGCAGGGTCTGGGTCTGGCGTCTACCTGGAGAACGTCTCTTGCCAGAATGCATTGTGCCAACAGTCAAGTTCGGCGGAGGTGGAATTATGGTCTGGGGGTGTTTCTCCTAGTATGGGCTGGGACCCTTGGTGCCCATACATGGTAAGCTCAACTCCGATGCCTACTGCACTATTTTGGATGACAATGTGCTTCCTATGTTGTGGCAGTTTTACGGGTTGGACCCCTGTTATTTTCAGGACGACAATGCCAGTTGTCATGTTTCGACGTTAACCAAGGCTTGGTATGGGGCCAATGGAGTTCATCGAATGGACTGGCCTGCCCAGAGTCCAGACCTGAACCCTATCAAGAACCTCTGGGACGAGTTGCGTCGCCGAATTCAGGGGTGCACTACCCGTGCAAAATCGGTGAATGAACTTCTATGTCTTCTCCAAGCCGAGTGGAAGAAAATACCACTAGCTGTCATACGAAGACTTGTGGAAAGTATGCCCCGGAGGGTCCACGCTGTAACCTCTCGTGGAGGCTCTACCAACTATTGATTTTGAATAAAGTTAGTTTTTTCTTTTCTACCACTGGTGTCCAAATACTTATTGGTAGTCAGTGTATTTGGCCAACAGTGGATAGGGCGTGGTTATTCGATATACTTGGCTTGCTCGATCGCTGAACCTATCATGCGCTTATTACTTCTGTTAGGGACACAAGAAATACTGTTGTGCAATTCTTCTCTGAGAGTGCCGAGGAACTGACTGCAAGCATCGCAGTAGCTACCTGAAAGTCTGAAACACGCCCAAAATATTCGAAATTCTCTGAGGCCTGTATTAGAGCTCATGCAGGACACCTTGATTATGTTCTTTGACCTCTTTGACTTTTTTAAATGAACAATTATTATTGAAATTTATATTCATTTTTAACGTGGTGTCCTTTCATTTCCGGTGTTTTCGGATGGTACCCTGGTACTGAGATATGGTGAACAAAGAAACCCCTCAAAGCGACCACTTCCCTAAGAAGCTCCTACCGTAGTATTTCTAGGACTATAAATAAATATTGTAACATCTCTAAGATAACCATTTGCACAGAAGACCAAAATCATCTACAACTGGAAGAATTCACTATATTTTCTTTTTCTTTTCTGCCATTTTAGATTTTTAATCAGTCATCTGTCCTGTTTGTACCTGTTCATTTACAGTGAATCGTCTCGTGGTGACTACCTCCCATAGATAATAACTTCTGGAAATAATCAGTATTTCTAATAACATAAATAAATATCAGTACTGAACATTACCTCCACAAGAAGACCTCCTCCGTAGAATATCAAAATTATGGCTTGTCATCTTAAAAAGATTGTTTCTAGTTCAGACTATCTTAAACAGACTGTTTCTAGAATAGGAATGATATATTCCTATAACGTTAAAAATAAACTAGAAGATTTCCATTTCTATAATAATCCTCAAACGAAATTATTTACATCAATAATATTTATTTTTGAAAACCAAATGCTTTTATTTGCATTTTAAACAAATCAAGCGCAGTACTTTTCAAGTCTTTCCCAAATAATGATGCAAATTTTCCTGATCTGATTTAAGTTTAAAAAATTAATGACAGATTAAAAGATTTTTCTCTAATATCTATACTCAATGGTTTAAAAATAAAATTTGACTAAATACATTTTGGAAATTTCTGAGTTAACGTGTTAAATATTATTTTTATTTTATTTTTAAGTACTGGTAATCAAACGTCTCTAAAATTTGCTTATTTTTTATCTACTATTTCTAGATTTATAAGTTACTAAAACTAATTAATGTTTTTAAAATTATTTACATACATAAAATCATTTATTAAAATTTTAATATGTGTGGTCACAGGCTGTTAATAATACGAGTAATCAATAAATTAATAGCATTCTTGACTTTGTTTTTCAGTTAGTTGTCCATCACCAATTGTTTCTCGTCATTTTCAGTTTCACACATTCTTCAGAGTACACACGTTTTAAACAATTACTCTGAACTTAACCACTTTTATGTTTTGTATGTTCAGAAAATTTTTTCCCCAAACCGAAAGCAGAATGAATGCAAATTTTTTCACATAAGCAAACATAAGCATAACTTTGGATGCCCAGTAGCTAAGAAAGACTGAATCCACTACGTAGGCTTATTCCGTTAGGTATCACTTAGGTCGGAAATCCTGTCATTGGTGCAAAGTGGACATTTCGGAGGAATTCCCTTCAAGAATTTAGTGCAATGCTAAAAACTTAAAAATTCAGTTTTTTATGGGACTCTAATTATTACATCGCAATACACTCAGTCTCACATTGAAAACGCTGTGAACGTTCTCACGATCACCCGCTTTCTAGATGATGTTGATTAGAAGTTCGTGGTCTTAGCGAAATCATGTTCAGTACTAATGCTTATTTATGTCCTCAAAAATCCGAGGCAAGAGAGGGTTCATTGTAGTTCATCAGCCATGATTGGTGCGCGTACTGTAGATTGCCAACGCCTGGCATAGCGTTGTTTCCTTGTTTTATATTGCAGATGGTCAAGGGCAGATTAAGCCTTTCAGTGGCCCACTTGTAAGATTCTGACGTTTCCACATGCATGTACAGTGCAACGCTTATTATCTCCACCTCCCCCCCCCAATATGCCTTCTTTCTCGGACTTGGTTTAGCTGCATCTTACATTCCATGGTAAAATCAGCAATGGGAAAGTTTTGTGGTGCACTCTTACCGTGGTGCCCTAAGCATATGCTTATTTTTTCTTAATGATTAATTTCTCTCTGCAGTGGTAGTTTTAGAATTAAACCTCAGTGTGACGCAATCCCAAATGAGTTACTTTACTAATTGCGCGTTTGTTTTCTCCCGCCTTTCGACATTCTTTTACAAGACAATTACTGTTTCTAATTTTCTTCAATTATTTAAACATTGATTAAATTTAATTCTGAGGTTAAGAAAGAAAGGAAGAATAAATTATATACATAATTTTAAAATATCTGCTGTGGACAATACATGATTTCCTTGTACGGCCTATTAAATTATACACATTTTTGCTTCACCTCATTTAATCTTATTTCCTCGAATTTCATTAGATATATTTATTATTCAATAAATTCAGTTGTCACTTCGAGGCAACACAAAATACATTCGAAACACCTCCATTAAAAATTGCAAAATACAGAGAAAAACATAAAAACACTAGATACAGTTAAACACAGTTTTTTTTTTTTTTCAATTAAAATTAAATTGTTAGCACAAAAACAAACAGTTTGGCTGACGGGCAAGAAGATCCAATTTTCGGTGCACAAAAGGGCCTCGTTAGGCCTAGAGCCATTTAAACTTTTAAATTGTTGATAATTCTACAACCATTGCATGCAGACTAACTAAAGGCATAAAAACCTTAACAGGAATAAGAGAATAACATAATTTAATCACTTTTAAGGCAAAAATTGCACAATTTACCAACATATAAGAATAAAAATACTGAGCTCACCGAGCCAGGTAACAAGATGAATTATATATATAATATATATATATGTTTGGTGCGTACGATTGCAGCGAAAAAGATAGATGCGTAACTACATGTTATACTAGTCCCATATACAAAATTTCAACGTTTTACGGCTACTCGTTTTTGAGTAATGCGAGATACGTACGTACTGACATCACGGAAAAAAATGCCTTCTGAATCCGTTTTAAATCCCTTTTTGGAAGGAAAAAACAGCGTTTTTTTCTGTCGTGCACATATATGTCACCAAAAAAAAAAAAAAAAATTAAATGGATTCCGGAGCGATCAAAATGGACATTTTCGTTGAAATATGATACCCGAAATTTTTCGCGATTGCAATACTTTCTTTACTTCATACAAGGAAGCAAAAAAGAATAAAAATTACTTCAACAAGATTCTTAACAAGAATTTAAACTTGACTACATTATTCGTAACATTCGAGCGAAATGATTCATTTTGTTTACAACCGTAAACTTGGCGTCAACAACTGATCACGTGATAAATTTGGCAGTACAGCTTCTTAACTAAAAGAGTCTCAGCAATTCCTTGCAACAAATTTCACAGCTAGAAGTGCCAGATTGTTTTTTTTATAAGCGAAATTCCAGTTGTATGGCTTTCTAACCATCTTTCCAATGCACTATATCAAGAAGTAATTCATTAAGTACTTTTTTGATTACCATATTGGAAGTATTTGCATAAAAATAACACACATTGCTTTAATAAATTTGTCAGAAAACAATTATTTCTGTGTGCATAAATATTATTCGTGACAATGAAATCCTTATAAATTTTTAACATTAATGCAAAAATGTTTATAATTTCAATATTAACAATAACGCAGAAAAAATTAAAAATAATATTTGAATTATTCTAAAGTCTGGGTTTAATCCATTAATGTCACAGTGTCTGAGTGTATTGCATTAATCATACTACCAGCCGACCGAACGGAGAGCGAATAAAGCCGCGAAACATTGATATTGCGCTCCAGATTCTATTCTTGGGAATTGAAAGGGTTGGTTGGGAGAATTTTCCGTGATTTTCTTTATGTGTAACATAAATATGGGTAAGCTTGCATTAAATCTCTGCATGAAGGCATCCCTTCCTACAGATCACTAGCTTCAGAGTGTTTGACTTAATAATGCAATCTATTCCATGCAAATCATCCATAAAATGTATTTTTTGTCAAGTTTGTTTTTTACTTATCCGTTTTTTAGTAATTCCAGTTATAAATTCTGTCAAGACTTTATAGGTAAGGGAAAAAGAAGAAAATAGAAATAATAATTAAAAAAAGAACAAAAAGAAAGTTAAAAACGAGACACTTGAATCCATTCGACGCTCTCATTGGCAAAACGGGCAAAACTGCCGCTCTTAATCCTAAGTTTAAAAACTTTTCTGTATATTAAGAAACTGCGAAAACTTTACATCTAGGAAAATTTCCTACATTCCACTCGTTTCGATTGAAACGTTATTGATTATCCAGATCAGAAGATTTAATGCAACGATATGCACTGCATGCAGAATTGAAGGATGTCGACAGATATAAAACTTAATTGTTACCTTTTGAAAAATGGTGAAAAAGATTTTGTACAAGTGTACTTATTATTTAACATTAAATACCCCGTTTGCCAGTTTATTATTTTAAAATATTGACTTATTTAAAAAGTCAAATTTACGTAAATTAAAAAATGATACAAAATTATCCGCCCTGTTTCGAAGCAAATCTTTCTTTTATATGGTCACCTCTGGTTTCACAGAATTTACCAAACTGCTCACAGAATCTTCTGGAATTCTGTGCCACTCCTCTGAAAGTACACTTTTTAAGTCGTGAATGTTCTGGGTAACGAGGTCGAGGAATCCGATGTCAAGCTATATTGGCTAGAAAGTTTTGCTAATGGATGACAATGCTCATTCGAATCGTACATTCCTGCTATCAAAATACTTAGAAAATATTACTTGACACTTAAAAACTGATACTTGATACTACTCGTCAAAACACTTAGAAAGTATTACTTGAATGAACTGAACTTAATGGAGCATGTCTAAGATACCTTAGGACAGTTCAGTTCATTCAAGTAATACTTTCTAAGTATTTTGACGAGTATGGCTCGTTGAAATTAAAGTTCTAAGGTATCTTAGACATGTTCCATTAAGTTCAGTTCATTCAAGTAATACTTTCTAAGTATTTTGACGAGTAGTATCAAGTATCAGTTTTTAAGTGTCAAGTAATATTTTCTAAGTATTTTGATAGCAGGAATTTACGATTCGAATGAGCACTGTCATCCATCAAAACTTTCTAGCCAATAGAGCCTGACATCGGATTCCTCGACCTCGTTGCCAGTTCCACAGCTTCTTGATATGGCTTTTTAAGGGAAATTAAAATCTTGAGTGACTTCCATTGTGCTTGCCCCCTCCGCTCTTGGTGTCTACCAATTAACAACAACTTTTGATACTGATGCCTTTCAGAAACCGCATTAACATTAAACAGCAGTAAAATTCAACACGCGTCTGTAGCGCGGCGGGTTGCCAGTCGTCTAATTTAAATAAATGCGATACCTATGAGCAGAGATCTAATTTTGCGTTCAGCTGCACATATGTAACATAAATTATCACACTACTGGACTTTGATTGAAAACTTTGATCAGTGAATATATTTTTCAAAGTTTTCCCTTTAATTTTGACAAGCGGGTAATAAAACCCACTTACGGACATCGCTGAACCAAAACGTTTTGAACCCCTGAGTCCGCAAACCAGTTATCCACAGTTTGTTTTAAAATATCTCATGACAATATTCTCTGAAAATGAGTAAGATTAATTTCATTATAAATAAACGCTAGTAAGCATCGCATATCTAAGGCGACCAGCTTCATTAATCGATTACGTGAATTAAAATCTGCTTTGTACCAAAGGAGCTACCCACCCACCTAAACAAAGCTAAGCCGCCAAAAGTAGAAATAAAGATGGTAGTAACATTAAAGGAATTTTTTTGCGAATATTTCAGCGCAATTGTCTCTAAAGTATAATCACATTAAAGAGATGATGTTCAGTATGAATGCTTGTTTATCTTTTAAGAAATACAGTAGAATCTCGACTGGCCGAGCTCACTGGTACCGTAAGCACCTCGGGTAACCAAAAATTCACATAACTGAGACTCCATTTAAAATCATACCAATTCCTTTTTCAACAAGTTTTCTTGAAACTGTCAATTTAAAATTTTAAAAATAAGTACACAAATTACAGCTATTAATATTTTAACAAAATCTTTTCTTAGTAGATAAATTTTGTTTTCTTCAATTAATAAGTAACCGACATAAGATTTTAATTCGTGTCAAAAACATTCATGAAAAAGCTGGAATAAACAAACTTCATCAGAACTAACGCAATTTATGAAGAAATTTTCAGTTTTTTGTTAGACTTCTAACATGTACATTTACGAGATATTTTTTTCTTGAAACTTTGTGAAATGGGGTTTTCAGCAGTTCTAGATTGGATAAATTGGATTATCTTTAAAAATACTTTTGGAATTACATTTAATCGTAGAACAATATTCCTTCCTCATTATGTAAGGAATTAGTTTCACCTAACGATTTTACATTAGTTTCTTACGATTATAATGTAAATGACTCATGTTCCAGTAAAAGGCCAATGGCCATAATATACAATCTGCCAGATTAATTTATGTATACTAATTGCGGTACTCAGCTTGTGCTTCTCAGTTGTTTCTGTATATAAGTGTATAAGTGTAATATCTGTATATAAGTGTATAATAAGTGTATAAGTGTAATATCTGTATATAAGTGTATAAGTGTATATAAGTGTATAAGTGTAATCTGTATATAAGTGTATAAGTCATTGTTAATTACACAGCGCACCCTTGGATTCACACTTAGATTATTTCTTTTCTATCTATCTATGTATGTCACTTTTGCTTGACAGGTTGACAGGCCCTTCTTAGCTTTCCAGATCGTATTTTCATAAATTTTTTTAGATCTTTGCACGACCTATATTGATATAACTACTTAATCCAATTAATTAATCAAAAATTTAAAAAAAAGTCTAAGCCATTTAAGTATGTATGTATATGTTCTTTTTTCATTTAACAGTTATAGTTATTTTCCTGTATCCTTCGTAAACTACATATTTTCGATTAGGGGTAGGGTCTTGGACCCAGGAACCTTGGTGTTACACCAAAATTTTCTCCCGCGCAATTTTTTCTTGAAAATGTATATTAACCTGTAGAGCAATTAGGTATTTTTTGAAAGCAGGAGATGTGAAAAATGAGCAGTGCTCTCTCCGGAAATCGAATCACGGACCTTTGGAATACGCGCCGAGCATGCTGACCACTACACTACGAAAGCATGGCCGGAGAAATACCTTATAAACCTTTTATAGTCCTATAATTCTATCAGCTACCTCACGAGTTTGCTAGGTTTTGATCAACAAAAGACCCATAAGAAAAACATCAGGATGTTGCTTTAAATATTAAAGAATTATGGTCAAGGCTTCGCTGCCTGTTAATGTGCGAGCGGTGAAACCGCTGAGTACTACTTCGGTCCGGGTTCAAACACAACTAAGTGGAGAAGAAAATGGTTAGCTGGTTAAAATGGTTGGTCTGGTTGTAGAGACATTAGGTAATTTTTGGAAGCAGAAGACTTGAAAAATGAGAAACGCCCTCGTCGGGAATCGAACCACGGACCTCTGGAATACGCGCCCAGCGTGCAGACCACCACACTACGAATGCATGCTAGGAAGGCAGGAGAAATACCTCATATGGTTAGCTACAAAGTGACGTCTTGGAAGGCGTCTAGTCCTTCCGTGACTTTCTTTGCTTCAGATTTGAATACCGGCATTTGGTTCGATGTTTATATTCTTTTTGTTTTTAATAATGCATAATAATTAAGTTTTCAGAGACGGAAAAACGTGTACAAAAGATAGTTTATTCCTTTGCACTTGATATTAATAGCCTTAACAAGTATTAATTTTAAGAAATATTCACGAAATTGAAGTTTTAAAATAAATGAATAAAAAGACAGTTGTTTATTAATATAAATAAATCTTTATAGTTACATTATTTTTAATTACCACTAAATACTAAAATAAATAGAATTCTTTAATAAATATTACTAAAATACCGTTTATAAAATTAACTATTGATTTCATTGATTTAAAACAGTCGGTTTCTTCAACAGGTTCTATAGCACAGATATCAGATATTAACATTTTTAACTGAATGATCTATTTGAATGTAAATGAATAATGGATTTCTTTCTCAATTTTCTTTCCGATTCAAGAATTCCGATTCAAGAAGACACAAAATAGGATCCCCCTGAGA